GAATTAATCTGCCATGTGGATGCTGGGACTCAAACCTGGGTCCTCTGCAAGAGCAGTCAGTGTTCTTAACCACTGAGCCATCTTTCCAGCCCCAAGATTTTGTTTAATCTTATGTCTTTGTAACCAGAGTGCTTCTGTTGCTCTATTAGCTATGTGAAGTACCTACACTCTTCTACAGCTCTGTCCGTGTACTGTATCTACTTCCCCATCCCACCCCCCATCATTACTAAAGCTCACATACCTAAGGACAGTATCTAATTCACTTAATAACATATTGATGATAAGACACATTCTAGTCATTAACCAGACATTTCTGTTGTTTAGTCATGACCAGGTAGTGTCATATAGTACAAAGTGTGGTGACCTGTCAAACCTGTCAGAATTGGAATGGCAGGCACTCAGGATTATTCTCACTTTTGATGTAACAGTTAATTCACTTTTCAACTTATTAAGGACACTTGCTAAATTGAATTTTTCCCCAGACTAGTTAGTTTCATATTCATAAGTTAAGGTTTAGATTCATTAGTGGTTAACTTATTGGAATGTTGAGGGGTTTTTTTTCCTCCAAATTTCATTCTTAGATGCATTTCATTTAGCCACAGAACAAAGGATAATCTTCACCTTTTAGCCACAACTTAAAAATAAAATCATGATACTGATTGTTGGTCCAAGAAAGCCCATCTGTTAGAGACTGAAGAGAAGAGAAAATGTTCCCATTCTTGTTAGCATCTCTAAATTTGGAGGAAGAAGACACTGAAGCTATGAACTAAAATAAGATTTTGGATTATTAGCCTCACCTGGGTTTGAATCTTGGCTTTCCAATATATTTGATGATGAATGAGTTTTTTTAAACTTCAGTTTGCTCATTAATAAAATAGGTTATGACATTTTCCTCTTAATGATTATTAGAATTCAGTGATAGATACATGTAAAGCATTTAGCAAAGACCCTGGCATGTAAGTACTTGATAAATGTTAACCACATTATCTCTAGTTAATGTCTTATTAATGATAAAAGTTCACCTTCTGACAGTAACTTAGTGTTAATGAAAACATTCCTTGTTGCATTAGCTGAAACAAAATTATTGGTGCCCTCTTTACTCAGCTCTGTGTTAGGGATGAGCTGGGTGTATAAGACAAATTGTAATAGGATTCTTGTCTTCCAGTCTCAACTATGAAATGTTAACCTCAGAAAATATTTTAAGGAAACTCAACTTTATGGTAACATTATATTGTTGAAATTTTAGCTCTGGCTTTAGACAAATTACTTAACCATCCTCTACCTTGGTTTCTTTATTTAATATCTTTGTTTCTGGGTATGGTAGTATACACCGTTAATCCCTGCACTCAGTAGATCCAGGCAGGTGGATTTCTGAGATAGAGGCCAGCTTGGTCTGCATAACAAGTCTCAGGGCTACATAGTGAGACCCTGTCAAAAAAAAGTTTTGTATGTAAAGTGGGGAAAATACTTTCAGATTTTTGTAAAGGATGAATTAGTTGGCACATAAAAAAGCATGTGGGAGAGAGTTCCTAATATATGATACGTGGTATGTAAGTTGCTGCTGCTTGATTGCAACTTCTAACAGTTGAATATTTAAATATTAGGTTCCTTAGCCAGATTAGGTTCCTTAGCCAGATTAACCATTCTTTGTTCACTTTGTTTAAAGTAGATAGATTTGCCAGGCATGGTGGCACATATGGGAGGCAGAAACAGGTAGGTATCTGTGAGTTCAAGGCCAGCCTGATCTACATAGTGAATTGCTGGCCAGCTGGGGCTACAGGGAGACCCTGTCTCAAAAAAAAAAAAACCAAAACAAAACAAAAACAGATTTATTTGTAGGAGATTTTTGTTCTATCTTTAGCTTGGCCAGTGAGGAGGTGAAGGGTATAGTTCGCTGATAATGTTGTGGTTCCAGTGAGAAGCTGTAGAGGATGTAGTTTACTGATAATTTTGTGGTTCCATTTTGATGGACACAGAATTTGGTAAGAAAATCATGTCCTAGAAAAATGTGTCTTACTGAGGTTTTTCTCCTACTTCCAGTGAAAGTTTGAGTTAAAACTTAGAGGGAATGGGGTTGCTAACCAGCCGAAAGCAAAAGGTAGGAAAGGCAGTTTGAATTGAGACCTTTGATTTTAGTTTAAATCAAGTAGGAAAAAGAAATTTTTATTTTATTGTTTAGAGAAAAGGGCTGACCTGAAGTTTCTGTCCTCAAATGATCCTCCTGCTTCAGCTTCTCCAGTACCTTCCCAGCTGATCGTTGTAGCATACTTATGGGGGTCATAATTCAGATCTATATTTTCTTTCTTTCTTTTGACTTTGGGTCTTCCTGTAGCCCCAGCTGTCCTAGAACTTACTATGTAGACCAGGCTGACCTCAATCTCACAGAGATCCACCTGCCTCTTTCTGAGTGCTGGGATCAAATGCGTGCACTACCATGCCTGGCTAAAGTTCATTTTTTAACATATATAACAACATAAAAATTGTGCACATTAGTAAAGCACCATTATTACACAAAAGCTTTAGTTTTTCTGTAATGACTCAGTACATTTCCCTAAAGTTTGTTATCTCATTATGGTTATAAAAATTTACAGGCCAGACATAGTGGTACATGCCTTTAGTCCTAGCCTTTGGGAGGCAAAGGCAGGTGGATCTCTCAGAGTTCAAGGCCAACCTGATCTACATAACAAATTCTAGGCCAGCCAGGGCTGCTCACGAGACCTTGTCTTTGTTTTTTAATTAAAAAAAAAATTTTTTTTTTTTTTGGACTTTTTGAGACAGGGTGTCTCTGTAGCCCCAGCTGTACTGGAATTTACTGTGTAGACCAGGCTGGACTTGAACTCACAGAGATCTGTCTGCCTCTGACTCCCAAGTGCTGGGATTAAAGGCCTTTTTTAAAAAAATTTATTTATTTAATGTGTATGTGCATATTGCCTACATGTACATAAGTGCACCTGTGTTGTGCAGTGTCCGTGGAGGACAGAAGAGGCTGTTGGATCCCTTGGGACTGGAGTTATGGACAGTTATTAGCTGCCATGTGGGTGCTCGGATTCGAACCCGGGTCTTCTGCAAGAACAACCAGTGTTCTTAACTGCTGAGCCATCTCTCCAGCCCCAAGACCTTGTCTTAAAAACAAAAAGCAAAAAACACTTTTATAGCCAAGCATGATGATTCACACCTGTTTTCCTAGTATGCAGGAGAATTGCATGTGAGTTGGAGCCTGGCCTATGCTATCCAGTGTGTTCCAGGCCAGCCTGGGTCTACTGTGTGAGACCGTGTTTCAAAGAAAACCCATTAAATAAGTAATTCTGAGTATTAGAGAATATTACATAGTCTATGTCTAGATGGATACAATTAATAAACATTTTTCTTTATGAATAGAAGGTGATTATCAAAGGATTTATACTCTTTGTGAACTAAAATAGGCCTGCAACTATAGCATCATCATAATAACTAACTACATACCTGCTGTGTGCCCAGCAATGTGCTAGGTCTTTTATACACAGTATTTTTATTATTCAGCTTCAATGTAAGTAGTAGTTTTGCCTGCTTTTCATAGTTAATAAATAGGTTCAAAGAAGCGACATGAGGAGTTGGAGAAATTACTTAGTAAAGTGCCTGCTGCATAAGCATGAGGATCCATGTTCAGATCCTCAGTACTCACGTCAAAACTGGACTTGGGCCCGGCATGGATGTGTACCCCTTTAATCCCAGCACTTAGGAGGCAGAGGCAGGTGGAGCTCTGTGAGTTCGAAGCCAGCCTGGTCTACATATAAGTTCTAGGCCACCTGAGGCTACAGGAAGACCCTGTCTCAAAACACACACACACAAAAAAAAGATAAGGAAATTGTATTTTTGTTCTTGTAGCCAGGTGTGGTGGTACATGCCTTTAATTCCAGCACTCAAGAGGCAGAGACAGGCCTGGTCTGCACAGCAGTATCCAGGTCATTCAGGGCTACCTGTCTGAAAAAAAAAGAAAATTAATACTTCATTGGTGACAAGAGCATTGTTTCACACAAGAGCATGTTGAAGCCCAGATTACTAAACAGTTACGACAAGTTCACTTTGTTTTAAATTAAGATACGTGAAGTGACTAGTACATTACCAAGTTCTCATAGGTTTTGGGAGATTGTCTTTAGCAGAGACAGGGTCTCCCTGTAGCCCCAGCTGGCCTGGAACTTGCTATGTAGATCAGATTGGCCTTGATCTCTCAAGATCTGCCTGCCTCTGCCTCTGGGATTAAAGGCATGTTTTTTGTCTTATGAAATCTACCACATCCAGCTTAGCAATTTTTTTTTTATTAGCAAAGAGTGCTCACCTCCATCTGTTCTAAATTCTTTTTTTCTTCAATGTATTTTACTGTCATTTGTCTCTGAGCCTGTATATTCTTATTTTGGTCTTTTTGAGACAGGGTCTCCCTGTAGCCCCATCTGGTCTGGAACTCCCTATGTAAACTAGGCTGGCCTCAAACTCACAGAAATCTGGCTGCCTCTGCCTCCCAAGTGCTGGGACTAAAGGCCTGTGCCACCATACCTGGTGTTTTCCTGTATATTTCTTGAATACAGCCTCCTACAATCTCTTTGCCTTCTAACCCCAGCTATAACCTTCCCTAATTCCCACACCCCACTCTTGAGTAGCCTCCTACATATCTCCTTATCATACCATTTCAAAATCCCCTTCTGTATTGAGGACAGGGGCAGATAAGTGTCTTTCCTTGCTGTCATATTCCTAGTCACTAGTAAAGTTCCTTACACTTAGTAAGAACTAAAAGTGTTGGATGCGTGGTCGCTGCCGTTTTTGTTTCACCATTATCATCTAAAAGTAGCTCCTCAACTCTGGCTTGTAGTTTTTGTGTGTATGCTGACTGCTTCTGATAATCATAAGCAGGTATTATTAGGACCAGTGCCTGTTTTCTCTTTCCTGAAGCATGTGCTTTGCTTTGATCTAGGCTAACACATAGTAAACTCAACTGTTTCCTAATCACTCTTCGCTCTGTACCACAGGTACCTTGGGTGAGCTAGATACCTTGATGGATCAAGTTCATATGCAGAACCCAGACTGGCAGCATCCTTCAGATCTTACCACACGGTAAGTTTCCTTCTTTCTGAAGCAGAAGATTTTAAAATCTGAATGTGTGTGTGTGTGTGTGTGTGTGTGTGTGTGAAATGAGTATAGGGTATGGGGTGTGGGCACCTGTGTGCCATGGTGCTCATCATGTTGAGGCCAAAGGTCAACTTTGTGGAGTCAGTTCTCTCCTTTCACCTTTACATGGGTTCCAGGGATTGCAGAGATACCTGGCTTTCACAGCAGGTGTTTTTATCATTGAGCCATCTTGTTGGCCCCAAAATAATCAGGATTTTTTTCTTTTTTTTCTTTTTTTTTTTTTTTTTTTTTTTTTTTTGGTCTTTTTGAGACAGGAACTCCTTGTAGCCTCCAGCTGTCCTGGAACTCACTACATAGACCAGGCTGGCCTTGAACTCAACAGAGATCTGCCTGCCTCTGCCTCCTGAGTGCTGGGATTAAAGGCGTGCGCCACCACACCCAGCTCTTCTTTTTTAATATTATGAAGTAAGGTCTTATGATGACCCAGGTTGGCCTAGAACTCATGATCCTTCTGTCTTAGTTTCCAGAGTACTTGATATATTATCATACACCACCATGCGCAACTTCAAAATCTGGAGAATTAGGCTGTGTGTGGTGGTACACACCTTTATTCCCAGCACTTGTGAGACAGAGTCAGACAAATCTCTGAGTTTGAGGCCAGCTAGGTTAGTGTGTTTCAGGTCAACCAGGGGTAGATAGTGATAGTGAGACCCTAACTAAAAACAAACAAGTAATTGGGGCTAGAGGCATAGCTCAGCAGTTAAGAGCACTTGCTGTTCTTGTAGAGGACCCAGGTTCGATTCCCAGCATCCACATAATGGCTAACAACTGTCTGTAACTCCAGGGGATCCAACGCCATCTTCTGACCTCTGTGGGTATTGCATGATGGGTACAGTTACACACATGCAGGCAATATACTCACACATAAAAAATAATAAAATATTTTTAAAAACAACAAAAAAACTCAACAAAAACCTGGAGTGTTCCATTGGTTTTTTTTTTTTTGGTCTGTTTGAGACAGACCCTCCCTGTAGCCCCAGCTGGCCTGGAACTCACTATGTAGACCAGGCTGGCCTTGAACTCACACAGATCCGCCTGCCTCTGCTTCCCAAGTGCTGGGACTACAGGCATGCGCCACCACGTCCAGCTTTTTTGTTTTTTAATTTAAAAATTTTTATGTGGGGGCTGGAAAGATGGCTCAGCAGTTAAGAGCACTGACTGCTCTTGCAGAGGACCTGGGTTCGATTCCCAGCATCCACATGGTGGCTACAAACTGTCCTTAACTCCAGTTCCAGGGGAATCCGAAGCCCTCTCCTGATCTCCGAGGCACTGCACGAGACGGGTGCACTTATATACATGCAGGCAATACACTCATATGCATAAAATAAAAATAATAAATAAAATATTTAAAAAAATTTTTGTGTGTATGAGTGTTTTGCCTACATGTATGTAACTGCACCAGATGCTTGCAGTGTCTGTGGCAGCCAGAAGAGGGCATAGAATCTCCTTGGAACTGGTGTTGATAGTTGTTAGCTGCCACATGGGTGCTGGGAACCAAACCCAGGTCCTCTGCAAGGGCAGCCAGTGCTCTTAACTGCTGAACCATCCCTCCAGCCCCTTGTTTGCTTATTTTGAGACAGGGTCTACTTATGTAGTCAGGCTAGCTTCAGACTCATGATTCTCCTGCCTCCACCTCCTGTACCACTACATGTAAGTAAAATCTGGGGTTTGGGGCTGGCAAGTTGGCTCAGCAGGTAAAGGTGCTTGCTGCCAAGCTTAACTTGAGTTCAGTCTCCAGAATTCACATGTGGAAGGAAAATACCAACTTCCACAAGTTGTCCTCTGACCTCCATCCATGTGCTATGCTCCATGTGCACACAGGCTCATACAGACACAAATAATTAATAAATAAAATGTTTTTTTAATCTAGGTTCTTTAGCTGGGCATGGTGGCACAGACCCTTAATCTCAGCATTGGAGAGGCAGAGGCCATCCTAGTCAATGCCATCCTAATCAACATAGGGAGTTCAAGGCCAGCCAGGATATATAGTGAGACCCTGTTTCAAAAAAATAAAAACAAAAACAAAAATCTAGGTTCTTGATGCAGTACATCTTTACAGTTTGATTAAATTGCTCAAAAACTTTGTTACTTTAACTCCTTTCCCTCATATCGTATATCCAGACCATTAGCAAATCATAAAGGCTCTACATATATAGCCAAAGTGTCTCATCATTTCACTTGGATTATTGCAAGTGTTCTAAATGCGTGCCCTGCATCTATCATTGCCAGCCTACTGTTCTTAACCCAGCATCCAGAGATTCTTTTTGTTGTTTTGGGGTGGGTCTTTTTGAAACAGGATTTCCCTGTAGCCCCAGCTGCCCTGGAATTTACTATGTAGACCAGGCTGGCCTTGAACTCAGAGATCCTTCTGCCTCTGCCTCCCAAGTGCTGGGACTACAGGCGTGTGCCACGACGCCCAGCTCCAGAGATTCTTTTAAAGCACAAGTCAGATTCTCTTTTTTTTAAAAAAATGTTTTATTATCATTTTTATTTTATGTGGATGAGTGTATTGTGCCTGAATGTAGGTAAGTGCACCCGTGTCGTGCAGTGCCTATGGAGGTCAGAAGAGGGCATCAGATACCCTGGACTGGAGTTATTTGCTGCCATGTGGGTGATGGGAATCTAACCTGGATCCTCTGCAAAAGCAGTGCTCTTAACTGCTGAGCCATCTCTCCAGCCCCCAGATTCTCTTCACTCACTATTTTCCAGTGGCTTCCCATTATCTTATCTTCACATCCTCCCTGTCCTCTAAAAACGCCTGTCTGTTCTGGACTAGGTTCACTAGTGCCATCTGCTACTCCTGTTGCTCACTACATTCTAGTTGTCCTGGCTTCCTTGCTGATCTTTAAACATCAAGTAACAGTTAATCCCAACACTCTAGAGGCAGAAACAGGGGGATTGCCATAAATTTGAGTCTAGGGCTATATATTGAGTTCCAGGCCAATCAGAGCTAAAGAGAGACCTTGTCTCAAAAACACTGGGGATAAAAAAAGGCAAACCAAGAAAATAGCAGTTCTCAAATAGTGTAGAGCTGGGGGTATAGCTCAGTTGTAAGCCCTAGGTTCACTCCCCTACCTAAAAGGAGGCAGTGTGTGTAAATGTTATTAAATGTATTTTGGAGTCAGACAATGGATTAAAATCCAGTCTCTTTGACCTTGGGAAGGTTATTTAACAGGCTTAGTTTCCTTACTTGTGTAAGGAGTTAATGAGAGCAGGCAGAGCTCTGTGAGCTCAAGGCCAGCCTGGTTTGCATAGTGAGTTCCAGGCCAGCTGGGGTTATAGGGAGAGGCTGTCTCAATAAGACCAAAAAAATAAAAAATAAAAAAAAATAAGAAAAGTTAATGTTAGGAAGGAAACTAACCTGTTAAATAACCTTCCCAAGGTCAGAGAGTCAGGAGAAAAGCCTGGATTTTAATCCATTATCTGACTCCAATATATATTATCTGTTCTATATATTATATATATTTAACATTGCTGAAACATAGACAAAATCAGGAAGGAAGGTCCTCAAAAAAAATACATACATGTTTTGTTTTTTTTGAGACAGAATCTCCCTGTAGCCCTAGCTGTCCTGGAACTCACTAGGTAGACCAGGCTGGTCTTGAACTCTCAGAGATTCGCCTGCCCCTGCCTCCCAAATGCTGGGATTAATGGTGTCACGCCCATTTTTTAAAAGATTTATTTTTAATTTTGTGTTTGTCTGTATGTGGGTATGCGCATGTGAGCGCAGGTTCCTGTGGAGGCCAGCGGTGTCAGATCTCTTGGAGCTGGAGTATTGGTGGTTGTGAGCTACCTGATGTGGTTGCTGGGGTCTGAACTTGGTCCTCCAGGGGGTCTGAACTTGGTCTTCCAGAAAGGCAGCATGTGCTCGTAACCACTGAGCGATCTCTCTAATCCCGTGTAAAGGTATCTTCAGAATAGTTGTGTTAGCTGTTTTGTGTACAAATGACTATTCTAGTTAAAATACCCTTCCTGTTTTTATTCTTCTCTCAATAGAAATTACGCCCGGTTCCGACAAAAACCTCTTCAGAGATACAGTCTGAGTCAGTGGGTTGACAGAAATAAGCGAAGCCACCATCGGTTCCAGCGTCTCCCAGACTTCTCATACAAGCCATATGTTTCATCCCATCAGCAGTGAAGGGCCTTTTCCAGGGTCTAGTCTAGAGCAGCATCTCATTTCTTCTGCTGTTTTCTTTTCTTTCTTTCTTTCTTTCTTTCTTTCTTTCTTTCTTTCTTGTTTGTTTGTTTGTATATTTTGACTTTTATTTTTCACAGGATTTTTATTTAAAGAATTTGTCACCTTTTGGAAATGTTTATTAAGGACTTGAATTTTTTTTTTTTTTGAGGACCTTCCTGATTTTGTGTGTCTATGTATGTATGTTTCAGCAATGTTAAATAGTGTTTTTCAATTTTTTAATTTAAAATGAAGATAGCTGCCTCCTGAAGGCATGTATTAAGTCAGAAGACCCAAGCTTAAACAAAATACCAGCTATATGCACAGATGTAGTCTATTTCTGGTGCCCCAAAGAAGTCGTCTTTTAATCTACTCTAAGAAAGCGGTTCTTTGGGGGACTATAAGCCAGTATTATTACTGATGACTTGTGACTGGGTACAAGTCACTTTTAACCCCATTTTAAATTTGAGTCTGAGTACTTGTCAGTATTTTAAAGTTGGCAGTTTAGGACATTTAAAGTAGGATGGAGAAGAAAGTCCTGTTGAAAGGGTAGATTAAAAGCATAAGTCTTTGTGGCTGGTTATGGTGGTGCATGCCTTTAATTCCAGCACTCTGGAGGCAGAGGCAGGTGGACCTCTGAGTTTGAGGCCAGCCTGGTCTACATAGTTCCAGGACAGCCAGAGTTACATAGTGAGACCCTATTTCAAAACAACCCTCCCTCCAAAATGTAAATCCTTGTGGTCAGGCATAGTGGTCCGCACCTTTAATCCTAGCACTTGAGAGGCAGGGAGGCAGAGGCTCCTGGTTCTCTGTGAGTTCTAGGCTGGCTAGGGCTACATACTGAGACCTTGTCTCAAAATAACAAAGAAAAAAAAAACAAAAAGCCAAAAAAAAAAAAAAAAAGTAAATCCTCTCCTTTGGACCTATTAGCTGTTATTATTGTTGTTGCTGTTATTTTTTGCACATAGCGTTTATAAGTTTTACATATCTTAACTGACAGAAGACTGCTGACTAACGCCTGTTGAATATTTTATGATCTTGTGATTGACTGGCTTCTCTGCCCCTTTTTGTTCTATTTTTTCCCCAACCCCTAGTGACCACTCTACTCTCTGAGGTTCTACAGAAACTTTTGTATCTCCAGTTAGACTTAGATACGCCTCTTCAGAATGGCTGCTTGAAGAGCTGTCCACCAGAATTTTGACACAATGACAGGCCAGTGCCATTGAGCTCTCTGGGCGTTTTTAATTTCATCTGCTGAATTCCAGGTTTGTATATTGGTGTTATTCTAGGAGCCTCCTTCCTGTGGAAGCCTTTGGAGAGGCACTCCATTGTTGGTCAGCAGGTACCTTTACACCCTGGATGTTAGCATCTCATCTTTTGGTCAGGCTCCATAGTTTCATGTTAATGCTCAAGTGAATCTAGTGATTCTGTGATTGAGCCTGCTGTGCACTAAAGCATTACCTGATGTTGAGATTAGGTTTGGTGTTCTAACCAAAGCTGACAGACTTTATGTATGTGGCTTAATGAATGTCTTAGGAGGTTTTTGTTTCTTTATAGACAGCCCGAGACATCATTTTGGGAGGTTTTGCAGGGTTTTTGACATTTGTGCTACTGTTGTTCACTCTCTGTAAAGGTTGTTCATAGTCACACAGCCTCTGTCTGTTTTTCTTTTATCAACCCCATCTTTGTATGTAGATAACCCATCCTAAATATCCTGTTCCACCTTGGAAAAGTGACTTAGGAAAATCTTGGTCATTCAAGCCTCTGGTGAGTTTGGATAAATGGTCCCAGTGTTTACTCGTTTTATTCAATCAAGGATTTTCTTCACTTTTTTGTTTTGTTTTGTCTTGTTTTGAGACAGGGTCTCATAGAACCTAAGCTGGCCTTCAACTTGCTGTGTAGCCCAGGATGGTCTTAAACTTCCCTGCCTCTTAGGTGCTAGGATTATAGGTGTGTGCCACTGTGCTCTATTCCTTTATCATTTGGTTTAAATTCTGGGACTAGACTTTCAGAGGTAGTAATCAGAACCGCTTCTCTTAGTTGGCGTAATTGCCATTTACTTCATTGGTCACTTGTCCAAGATGCTGTAAATTAGCTTGATAGAATGAGGTATGCCAAATAATCTGTGTTTGGGACCAAAACAAAGTTAAAATTAAATGTAGCTGGAGTAGTTAGCATTGTGACTGTGTAGTTCCACACAGATAACCCAGGGGGTGAAGGGACAGTGTTTTGCTTAGGCAAAAATCTGAGACATTCTTGCTTTCCTGATACCAGGAGGGTTTAAGTCTGTATGTGTAATGGGAGCATTGCCTTTGCCAAATCAGATGAGTGACAGGTTAACTAGAAAATGTGACAATCACATTTCCTCTTAGCTCAGATAATTCTGTTTTTCCAAAGCATTAGCAGCTTAATTAAATCTGTTGGACTGGGGGAGGAGAGAACTGTTCTGTAGTGGTTAACATGGTATTCTTTAAGGAGAAAAAACAAAGCCAAAGAAAACTCATTATCTGGCATGCTAGCCTTAAAGATGGTAATGGGTAGAATCTGGAGTTTTAATCTCTTTTCAAAGCTGCATTATATTTGGTGTTGGCCTCTAAATCTTGTATTTCAGGTGAAATTCTTGCTGTATTTTTAAATTTGAGTAAAGGTTCTATGCATTCGACTGTGTACCTAGCTTTCTTCCATGATGACATTCTCACCACAGGGGTCTTGACAAAGCAGAGTAAAAATTTGCTAATTAAATAGTTAAGGAGCCTGAAATAACCTTTAGTTTTGCATCTAATATGGGCTCTGATTTACTTGCATTTGTTGTCAAGATCAATTATGAAACTGAAGTTTGGTGCCTCCTCTTTATCATGTTTTTTCCCTTGTAGCAGTTGTGTTTAATGTCATTAAAAGAAATAAAAGTTCTTGTCAGTGGCATATGTACTGTGACCGTCTGTTGCGGGCTTTGGAGGGGGTTATTTGCCTTCCTCTGCGTAGGTAGTTCAGTAGGATATGGGAGGGTGGCGGCATTTAGTAGAATATGGTTCTGGGAAGGCGAAGGTGCTTGCTCCCTATTCTTTTGAGGGTAAATTACAGTGTTGAGGAAGGCGTTCCAGCGGTTAAGAAATGTTGAAATTGATTGGGATTTGCAGCTACATATGGTGCATGTCAGGAAACTGACATTGGGAGAGCCTGAAATATCACTGTGCTACTGTTTTTGCAGAGGGGAAGATGGCTCAGCCCTCATCAGGCAGGCAGTACCTAGCATTCCTTCGCATGGCTCCCTGGTTGACCACTGTGTGTGTCCACAGCTAGCATTGATTAAGGAGGAAGCCATTTATTCTCTTTAGAACACTCTTCCTTTGGAGATAGAAGAAACCAGAATCAATCATATGAAAATGATAGTTGTTCTTAACCCAACTTCTCCCAAGGCTCCAATAACCTGGGGTGAAGATCGGATGAATGTGGGTAGATGTTGGGGAGGGAGCACGCTTTAGATCCCTTTTGTGAATCTAAGCTTCTTAGATTATCCCTAGGAGCAAGGATAAAAAGGCAGTCAATAATAGGCTGTCACATATTTAGCCAGTACTTTTAAAAGTACAGCTCCCGCCAGGAAAATAGGCAGCAACATACTTGGACGGGCTCACTAGCCTGCTGTTGTAGAGGTTTTTGGAGTGTTTTTGAGACTAGGTCTCACTATGAAGCCCATGCAGGCTTCAAACTCACAGTTCTGCCTCCACTTCCCAAAGGGAAGGCGATGACAGGCATGTGCTACCTTGCCCATTTGTAAGTCTTGTCTAGTATGTATTCTAGACAAAACCATTCTTAGTCTAGGCAAAAGGCTCAATATAATGGGGCTGGAGAGATGGCTCAGAGGTTAAGAGGACTGGCTGCTTTTGCAGAGAACCTGGGTTTGATTTCCCAGCACCCATGTGGCAGCTAACAACTGTCCGTAATTTTAGTTCCAGGGGATCCAATGCCCTCTTCTGACCTCTGTGGGCATTGCATGACACGGGTGCACCTACCTACATGCAAGCAGTACACTCATACACACAAAATAAGAAAATATTTTTTTTCAGTCTTTTTGAGACAGGGTCTCTTTGTAACCCCAGCTGGTCTGGAACTCACTAAGTAGACCAGGCTGGCCTTGAACTCGGAGAGATCCACCTGCCTCAGCCTCCTAGTGCTGTGATTAAAGGTGTGCGCCACCATGCTCAGCAAATAAAATATTTTGTTTAAAAAAGGCTCAATGTGAATGTGGTAAGCACTTAGCTACTATTCTAATGCTCTTGTCTCAATTTGTGGTTTTGGTTTTTCTTTGGAGGCAGGGTCTCACTATGTTCCTGGCTGCCTATGTTCCTAGCTGTGTAGACCAGGTCATTGTCAAATTCAGAGATCCGACTGAGTGCTGGGATTAAAGTATGTGCCACCATGCCCGGCCCAATTTGTGCTGTTCTTGCCTTGTACAAGTACATTGTTCCTGTCAAGTATAGATGGTCCCTTGGTCGTTCTTTTCTCTTTTTTTTTTTTTTTTTTTTTTTTTTTTTTTTTTTTTTTTTTGTACGTGTGTTAGTTTCCACCCTAGGCAGCAAGAAGTGTGTAGAGAAAGGAGAAATGGACCTTTTCTAAAAGGAATGGGCTCAGGCTGGAGAGCTGGCTCAGTGGTTAAGAACACTGGTTGTTCTTGCAGAAGACCTGGGTTTGAATCCCAGCACCCACATGGCAGCTAACAACTGTCCATAACTCCAGTCCCAGGGGATCCGACAGCCTCTTCTGACCTCCGTGGGCACTGCAGGACATGGGTGCACTTACCTACAGGCAGGCAATACACACACATAAAATAAAAGTTTAAAAGGAATGGGTGCATTCTCTAAGAAGCTCATGTTGAGTTTTATAGGACGACAAACCAATCTCCGAAAACTAGAAAGCCAAATTCCCTGATTTTCTTAGTGTTGTCCTGTTTTCTAAAAGAAAATTATTCTTAAAATAATCCTAGGGGTTTTTTTTGTTTTTTTTTTAAATATATGCTAGGGCACCTGTTGGGAAAATATTTCCACTTGTCACAGGAAGAGCCAGCTGGTCAGTGTTGGAATTCCTTAATGAACAGGCTCCTGCCTTGTCATCCCTCCCCGTTTATCCTCCCATACCAACTGGAACATACCACAGACAGAAAACTAGCTCTCCCCAGCGCTCATTGAGAAGCAGGTGGAATGTGATCTTTTGGGTAACCTTTAAAAGCAGTTCAAGTGATAGTCCCGAAGTGTATCACCATTTCACACAGATCTCCTTCTACTTAGCTTCACGTTGTATTTTCAGGCTCAGGGTTTTTGTTTTTGCTTTTTAAATCGGTGGGCTGGACCTGGGGGAGGGAAGAGTGCCTCATTTATAGAAGCAACTTGTTCTGGGAGGCTACTTATTAAAAGCAAAATCCAAACCTATTTGTTTAAAAGAAGGTAAGAAATGAGGTAGACATTTGAAACATATAGATGGCCCGGTGAGATGTTAGAGAATGATACAAGCTTGGAACATTGTGTAGATGGCCCAGTGATTTCTATAAAGGGTTGACTTATTGATCTTAAAAATGAATTTTAGAGGAACCAAAAAGCTAGAAGACAGGAGTAGAAGGGGAAAGGACTCCTGCCTCACAAGTACCCAGCATACTTTTTCCTTTCTTCAGGCCCCTGGTCTCCTCTCTTTTCTAGGAGGACAACCTCTTATCCTAGAAGGTGGGTAGGGTCTGGGACTCCTTTCTTTGAACCCAGTATTGGTGGAAAGGAAGTCAAGCCCACCCTCAGAGGCTGGCCCAAGGTGTTAGGTGATTAACCCCTCAGGGTCTCCTGCCTCTCTGCCCAGCATTCTTCCCACGGGCCTGTGGTCTACAAGTTAGGTCTCTTGGTCTCAGAGCTACCTGTACCCTGCGAATGGAGCCACATGAGACTAGTAGAGGGCCCATGTCTCAAATTACAGCTGTAGAGTTGGTGCAAACACAGTTGATTCCAGAAGAGTCCAATCCTCATTTCAGGAGAAAGAATGAAACTTTAAGCTAGGAGAGGTTTTCTCCTCTTGCTTCATACCCTTTATGATGCACCACAGGCATGGAGGAACAGAACACCCTCCTCTCATCACAACTACCTCTACCTGACCCTGACTTGAGGGCTTCTCAGTTGGTAGTAGATAGGCACAGAAAGCCTAGGAAGTACCTCTCTGAGGTTTGGCTTAGACTTCTGTGTATTCAGTTTCCTCCTTTCCACCCAGCCCCTTAGATCTTTCTTTCCATCTGCTTTGAGAACCTGAACAGTGCACTCTAAGCTCTGCATATCTGACATTTTCTCTGCAAGCTCTTCCTGGCTTTGGACAGGACTGTTCGAGGTGCCCCACTTACTAGTTCACTCACTGGCTAATGGTGTCATTACTCTCTGCCTTTCAGCCTGCTTTGGGATCTTAATGCTGTTCCTTTAACAGCCCAGAACACATTAAATACTAACTGGAGAAAACAGCCTCTGCAATTCTGCACTCCTTCCTTACCCCCCACCCCAGATAAGAACTGCAATCCTCTGGCAGCAATAAGTACCCAGCCCTACCCGGAGAGGAAAACCCTTTGTTTTCAAAAACTGAGCAGGAGCCTGCATACCTATGTGGTGAGGCAGCCCAAGCTGGGCTTAGAGAGGAGCCTCAGAAAGAGGATGATAGAGCAGCTATTTTCTTCTCCTGCACGTGCACCCCCATCTGTTCGAGAATTCCCTTCCAACTCCAGCTTGGCTGGCAGGCATGTCCCTAAGAAGCGGCAGGCCAAAATGGAAGAGAACTGATTCCCTCCTCCACACATCCTGACTTGCTGCCAATTGCCAGAAAAAGAGGGCAACATTTGGGCATTTACCAGAAGACAAGGATGTGCCTTTTCATTTGTCTTTTTATTTTACACTTAAAAAGTGGTTATTGCTCTAACTGGATCAGAGGTAAGGACCTCTTTCTTAAGGAGCCTTGCTTGGCCTTGCAGCCCCATTCAGCAGGGATGGAAGTCACAAGACAATGAGGGGAGCCTCATGCCCTCCCAGGAGGAAGCCCTTAGTGCTGCTCACATCTGCCCTTCGTCCATCTCTCCTCCCCTAGTGCTGCCCACACTTGGAGCAAGCAGAGTGGTGGCTGACTCAACCTTGAGAGCTGTTGTAGACCGGAAGGAAGGGGCGGTCGTTGGGTGATGGCTTTCAGCTCTCTGGCTTGGGTACCAGCACTCATCATTCAGTGTAACAGATGTATACCAAGCACCTACTACGGGCTAGCCTTGTGGTAGGAGCAGCCTTCCACACTACCGTGGCCAGTGGAAGGTGTAGCGTCCATCTCTTCCCATGCAGGCATTTGGCAGCCATGTGGTGTATCAGTAGTCCCAGAGAAGTCTGCCTTTCCTCATCGAGCACCTTTTTTTTTTTTTTTTTACCAGAAAGGGGCAGTAGAGAGAGACCTGTTATTTCGCACCACTCGAGCTCCAGGGAAGGACACGAGGACCCTGGATAACTTTCATAGAACCCTGAATGATGGTGAGCTGTGAGGACCCCAGAGGCCAGTAGTGACAGCAAGACTGCTCTGCCTGTCTGCTGAACAACTCAGGCCTGCCTTCCAGCAGTTGCCGCTCTGGGATGTAGGACGTAGATGTGCCCTTTCAGTTATCCAAGCTGGCACTGCTGCAGCTCTGAGAGACACTTCCTTTACAAATGAGCAGTACCTTCCAGGTCTTCTCAAGACCTCAAACTAATGATCTTCCTGTCAAAGGACGTCATAGAAGGTAGAAGATGCAGGCAACCAGCTCAGGTCTTGGCAGAACCCTCCACCCTCGGGAATACAGCCCTCTGATTTTCTTTTCCAAAAGAGACAAAACAGGTAACATCTTACACACTTGAAAAGGTGTACATCACACCACAAAAGTCCTTAATGGCTGGATCCAGAAAAGGCTCGATGGAGTGGTGACCCTACAAAGCTGTCAGCCCCATGACTTCCCTGGTGCTCCTTGGTCTGAAAGACACAGCTCAAGTCAACCTTCGTAGCTTGTCCTCTCCCAGAGATTTGTGCAGGTTCTCAAAGAGGAAGCCAGTCCAGGAGAAGCGAGGAGGCAGAAGGCTGTGTCTCATGAAGCTTTGCCTTTTCCAGAATGGGGTCAGGCCTTTTAGTTTTGTGGCTTATTTTATCATTATGTATTTTACTTTTTTTTTTTGCAGAATGTGGGTTTATAGTTCAGCCTTCTTCCTCAGATTAAGACAGGAAAAGGGAGACCTTCAGCTAGCTGTGCCGCCATTGCTTCCCTCAGCCTTCTAGAGACCCAGGGACAAGCAGAGAAGAAAAATACAGTCCTTCTCCCTGCAGTCCTGCTTCGATGATGTTCACTGAGGGCTTGTTTGGAAACTGGGAGGAAAAAAATGAGAGAAGTGGCCAGAGCTAGTGGAATAGACTTCTTGCGAGGTGGGAAACAGGACAGGAGGAGGGAGGGAACAACAGGACTACAACCTAAAGGCCAGGCTCTTGTCCCTTGTGGAAAGAAAAGAATAGCCCTGCCTGGAGGTCTCTCTCGCCGCCTTTTCATACCCAGCCTTTGGCCTGGCTCAGAGGAGTGGCCAAGGCTGAGTCTTGGGCCCAGAGCCCTGGTCCCCAGTCTACCCCCAGCAGAGACATCCCTCTGGCTGGTCCTCTCACATCCTGCAGATCTGCCTCTGGGTACAGCCTCAGCCACAGACATTGTTGAGGTGCTTCTGAAGATAGGAGTTAATAAGAGGCTTCGGGAAAAGACCAGAAAGAGACAAGCCAAGAGAGAAGACAGTAAGCCAGGATACAAGATGGAAGGAGGAGATGCAGAGAGGGCCGGGTGTTTGTTGGATAATCATCGTCAGAACTGTGAGATCCTCCCACATTTTCTACCGTCTTCTGAGCTGCTCAGAGCAAGCACTGAAAAGGTTTCATATCTGTTTCACAGAAGAGGAAATGAAGGACAGAGGTGAAGCCCCAGGCCCAACACCCCTGTTCTTGCTGCTCCACCCAGGCAAACCAGGAACTCTGCCCCTCCCATCCCTCCCATTCAGTCTTTTTTTTTTTTTTTTAAGTTACCACTGGCCCTTGTAAAAGGAAAGGATCCAAAATCAATTTGCAGTGTCCCCTGTGTCATACAGGCAGCAGCCAAGCTTGGCTTTGCCCAGATGCTACCATGCCAGGCCCTGAGCTGACCCCTCCTGCAGTCTAGGGACTACAAATGCCCAAGGCATAGGGCCACCCACCAAGCCCAGGTGTTGCCCTCACCTTGCTGCGGAGGAGCCCCCCACCCTGGTGCTCTGGTGTGCTGGTTTCTGACGCACTTTTGGTTTTTTCCTTGTTGTTATTGGGCTCGTTGTCCTTGATGATGTCATACTGGCGGCAGAAGAGGGCAATGACACCTATGAAAGACAAATGGGCAGTCAGGGGCCAGGTCTGAATTCTTGCCTAGCCTGCTCTATCCCCTCCAGCACTGCTGACCGTCTCTAGATGGTCTCCTCTACACTGCTGCAGCCTCTCCCCGGCCTCTGGCTCCTGTGTCTTCCTCTGGCCACCCGTCCACCCCTTCTGCTGTAGCTGGGCTGTTCCTCCTACAGCATGATCTGATCATGTCTCCCCCTACCCTTTAAGTCTCTGACAGCTCCTGTTTTCCTATAGAGGAAAGCATAAGCAATAACGGCGTTTGTTGCTTGTGTGCCAGGACCCTGTGCTGTGCACTGACATATTTAATCTCACTTGATCCTCACAATTCCGGGGCACTATTATCAGTCTCGGTACAAGCGAGCACACTGAAGAGCAAGAGAGTTTCACCAACTTAACTCAAGGTCACACCCTGGGACAGCTGGGAGGTGAGGTGCAGAGCCTGTTAAATGCCTAATTTTATCAAGTCAGTATTGAAGCTGCTAACTCCAGTTGTAGACAAATTCCCCGTTTTACCTCTATATTTGTAGTGTTGTTTCTCAATCTATTTTAGATATCTGTTGGTGTCCCATAGTAGTAGATAAAGACTAACGACTCCTCCTACTTCCCTCTCCATCATCCTAACAGACTTACACCACAATTTTGGGTTAATTCACTGTTTATATTGTTATGGTTATGTAAATATTGTCTGTGCCAAGTCTAATAATGCGCCATAAGCAAACCTCCTCTTTTGTGTAATTCTTTGTCTTTCCTGCTTTTCTTTCAAGTGCCTGTTTTTCTATGTGCCTAAGAAACATTTTCTTTTCCCAAATGTTTCTTCAACAGGGCCTGGCCCCTCAACCCTTGCTAATCAGGCTTTGGCATGGTGTTCAAATTTCCCCAAAGCCTCCAATCCTCAGCTCTTTACCCTTTACTCTCCTGTGCTCCACCTCCTCGCATAGGTCACAGCTACAGCGAGTCAGTGAGTGAGCTTAATGCATTGTTTCTTGAACACAGGGCACCCAGAGCAACCTTCCTCCTTTGGTTGCCTGGTGAGCTCCTATTCGTCCTTCACAGCTCAATTCCCATCTTGCCTCTGCCCTGTGCTTTTAGTTTTGGGTATTTTCAGTGTTAGGTATCAAACCTAAGACCTCACAGATGATAGGCAAGCACTCTATGCTGGGCCACACCTCCAGCCCTTATGTATTTTTCTTGATTTCTACTCCTAGCTCCAGAATTGATTTCATCTCCTCTGTTCTTGTGTTAATACTATACTGGTACTCGTCATATTCAGTTATAGTTAAACATGGGCCTGGCTTGTCCTAGCCTGAGTTCTTAGTCATGATGATAATACAACTGTCTAGCAGGGAGTGTTTGGTCAATAAATGCCAGTTGTGTTGAATATAAAGATGGACGGCAGTTGGACTGTATCCTCAGGAAGCTCAGAGACCAGGAGGAAAAGAGTACCACCAGCCCACCCAACTTTCAGAAGGGTGAAGAAGGGCAGACAGTGTGCTGTGGGCCCACAAAGGCAGAAAGGCCATTCTGATGGGTGGATGGGGAGAGTCTGCATGGCTGCGGCTCAAGTGGATCTGGAAGGGTAGGGAAGGGAGGAGTGTTCGAATTGAGGTCAGGCAGTGGCTTCCACTTGGCTGCTCAAGCTTGAAGCCCTTGGAGCTCCAGCATCCCAGAAAAGGAAGGCAGAGCTGTGACCATGGCTAATAGGGACAGGGGCTATGAACATGGCCACCCTAAGGGGGCTGGACCACTTCTGAGAGGAAAAGACAAGCACCCCTACCCCCTACAAGCAGTACCATGCTATCTTGGGCAGAGTGGATTAGAGAAGGGTCAGGTTTAGCTCCCTGAGCTGTCCCAGGCAGGATCTGGGCATTTTACCTCTTCTCTCAGGTATTCCCAAACCTCTTACCCTTAGTGATAAGAAAAAGGGTTGGTTAGGGTCCTGGGCTCCCCAAGGGTAAGTAAAGGAGGACTTGGAAGCCCAACTTACCCGCCCACATGAACAGAACCACAACGATGATCAGCACCTCGCCTGTTCGCAGCTGTTGGTTCCTCCCCATCTCCTTCATGGTCACCTCATCTGTGAGGAGAGATAAGCTAGTCCTGGGTTCCTTCATGTCCAGTCACTCCCATTGCCAAGCCCACAACAAGTGCTTATCTCTATTGATGCCCACACACCCGACATAAAGATATCAGGGACAAACTAAAGACTGCTCAGGGTGGCAGTGATAGGACTCAATCCAAATGAGGTAGTTTTGCACACCAGCCTCCTGGGGGACTAGAGAGAAACTTCTCAGGAACTGCCTTACGGTTTCCCATTCCTCCTGCTCCACCCAGCTGCCCCTGCCCTACAGCCCTAGGCCCCTCGCATGCCCCAGGCCTGCCTTTGTTCTTCGAGGCCATCTTCTCAGCCTCTCGTGGAGTCTTGAAGAGCACTGGCTCACTAGCGGGGCTTTGGCCCTGAATAGAGATGGCCTGCACATGCACAATGTACTCTGTATCTTCCTCCAGGTCCCAGAGAGCACAGGAACGGGTGGTGGTGTTCACCTCCTGGATGAAACGTAGCATCCGCACGTCCTTCTTCTGCAAAAGTGAGGGCATGTCAGTGCTCAGGCACCAGCCCAGCTTCTGCCCACCTCCCGCAGTGGCCAGCCCTTCAGGACACGATCATCCCATCACCTTTGGGCATCATCTCCACTGTACAGCTAAGGAAAGAAGTTCAGAGAGGTCAGGGAGTTGCCCAAGGTCACACATCTAGTGAGAGTTGGAACCAGGTCCTAAATACCTGTGCATCTGAGATTAGAACCATGCTCTGAATTCCCATGTTCCAGCTGAGAGCTCCTGAACTCTCCTCCGCTGACTAAGGGCCTTCTGGGACCCCATCTTCCAGCTGAAAGTGCGACTGTCACCCCTCTCTCACCCTGTTTCTTTTTCCTTTCTGTTTCTCTACTACCATCCCTATCTATCACTCTTATTTTCTTTCTTTTTTTTTTTTTTTTTTTTTTTTTTTTTTTTGGAAAGGACCTTGCTATGTAGCCTGGGTGGCCTTGAACTTGCAATCCTTCTGCCTCAGCCATGTGGCACCTGGTTTTCTGTCACTGTCTTGATGTGCCCTTTCCTCCCAAGCACCCTCAAGGGTTACCTGCTGAGAGATGGCAAATCCAGTGACAACCTCATCTTCCAGGACATCCCAGCTGACCACTGCAGAGTTGGCTTTGAGGTGCCTGATGGTGACGTTCACAGGGGCTGAGGGGCTGTCTGAAGGGCAGGGAGGTACCTGAGCCTGAGCATCCCCTGCTGTGAGGCCCAGACCTGGGGAAGGCTACGTGGAGAGGGAAGGAACCCAAGGCCTCAACTGGGTCACACCGTTCCTCAGTGGCCCCAGGCTCCTCGTGACTATCATAGAAGCCACTGCTGGCCATAGACTGGCCACCCTAGGAGTCCAAAGCTAAAACTGATGGGCCTGGTCCTGGGCCAGGGCAAGATCTCATAGGTAGGCATGGAGGGGAACATAGTTGACTAGACTTGCAGAAGCTGAAGATTAGTCTGATGAAAAGCAGTCACAAGGACGCCTAGGCTGTTGCTCTTTCTACAAACCCTACACTGTCAAGTGAGTGACCTTGAGGGAGGGAGACAGACCTAGGGATTGTGAAGAGCCTGGAGGGCCTGGGCTCTGGGATGGGAGTGAGGGGCAATAGAGAAAATCTTTGGAATTGTGATGAGCTGGGCAGAATACAGCTTGGGGAAGGGCCTGTGTTAGCCTCTTCACACTCTGCAGTCCCAAGCCCAGAGAAGGAGGAAGCTAGAGAAGATGGGGCACTCAGAGCAGGGCCCCTCAGGGAAGAGACATCAGGATGGAGCAAAGCCTTGTGGGTGGGAGAAGAAAAGTAATGGAGGGAGGTGTCCATCACAAAGAAGAGAGTGATGGGGGAGTCAGGCAGGAAGGCTCTTCCAGGAGAGGAAAGTGGAGTCCCCCAAGGGTTGTGTCTCTCAGGGGGCAGGTAACATTATCTCCCTCAGAGGAACAGATTTGAGGCCCAGGGGTTATGCCAGACATGCAGATGGAAAGGGACAGAAGGACACAGACAGGTGGTGACGGTCACAGAGCCGGAGAGAGGACAAGTGGAGCATTAGAGACAGACTCAGGTTGAAAGCACTGAGCTACGGAGAGATGGATGGGCAGAGCTGGAGAGAGTGAGGCAGCCGCTGCTGGGGAGACAGAAGCAGGGTGATTGGGAGAGGCTGGGCCCCAGGGGGTGAGCCAGACGCTCACTGCACCGGGTACAGGGGCTGCCCCCTGGCACCCTGAACCCCCAGGTGCCAGTGCTCGTCCCCTTCCTTCGTGCTCCTGCATAACCGAGGGGCAGTTGCTCTGAGGTCTTTGGACACACAACGAGGCCCAAGGTGTGGGATTGGTGTCCTCAGCTGCTCCCAGGGCCAGAAAAGGTGACTGAGGCACAGGCCCAGGGTTAGGACACGGGAGTAAGGGATCGAGGGACGCAGACCCTAAAAATCCAGGGCTGAGATGTTGGAAAGAGGTCTGGAGGCTGAAGGATGCGGGTCTAGGGGTCAAGAAGGTGCGGAAGCACTGGGGTCGGGTTAGGGGAGCTGGGAGCAGGTGAGGCAGGAGGTCCCCAGGTAACAGGAAGGGACCCGAGGCCTCCCCAGTGGCAGTGCGGGAGCGGAGGCTGCCCGCCGGCCCCCCTCCCGGGCCCCCCTTCCCCGCCTGCACCAGCGCGAAGCAGACGCAGCCCAGCCACAGGCGGAGTGCGGCGCGGGGCGGCCAGGCGCACAGCTGCCCCGGGGGCATGGCGGCTGTTGCGGCCGGGGCGGCGCAGGGGGACGCGGCTCCCGCGCCT